CTTGGCTGGGACCACACCTCAAAGAGATAAGGAGTCCTGACAAACAAAGCAGCAGCAGCAGCTGTCTCTTGGATGCTTAAGATAAAGAATGAGCAAGTATCAGAGCTAATACGATTCAATTAGTTTTCAGGCATTTCCCCATTCCCCCCCTCCCCACCCCTCCCTTCCAAGGAAAGAGTAACTAATAAAGTCCCTGCTGAGCACTGCAAAGGTGGTGGCATTTGTTTGGCTCTCTTGCTCCTCATGCTTTACTGCATGGAGAAGAGCTGCTGTGAGCCTCATGGTTTGTCCTCCTACCCAAGGGTAAAACAATTATTTGTTACTTAAGATCTGTTCATGGCAAATTTCTGCTGCTGGTTTTCACAAGACCCAGTGAAGGCAACCCCTGTGCAATCAGTCAGTTCTGGCCTCCTTGCCCCATCATCCCCTCCTCAGGCAGAGATGGTTTTTCTTACTCTTTTCCACTAGGCACAGAGGAAGCTGGAGGTGACCAAAGCTGAAGAAGGGTTTTTTTGCCTTTAACCTTCCAGTAAGTCATCTGCCTGGTACAAGGCGGAAGCATGGAGAGACACAGTTTTTCATGCATAAAAAAAAAATAACAATAAAAGAAGGTTTTACCCTTTACCCATGAGGAGTGACTAACTAGGAGAAGGGCATGGCAGAGTAATCCTGTAATCCTCTCCAGATTTCTACCGGGAAACATTTTGTCCTAAAGATCAGCACAGTCATAGAAATAATGCAGAGTAATCAGCCTCAACTTCTCCCAGCCCCCATCCTTGCTCCTGGCTATTAGCAAATTAAGAAAATCTTCCCAAGCTTTTGCATGAGACTTACTGTGTCATTACTTATTTTAAAAAAAAAAAAAAAAAAGATGAAGGGGGAAAAAAAAGCCCTGGCTAATCTTTGCCTCACTGCTTATCATCCCCTATCTTCGCCCCCTTTGTTATTACCCGTGAGTCACACTTCACCTTTTCCTTAGTCTACATCTCCCACATTTGCTTCTCGATGGGCTTTCCTGCCACCCCTCGCTCCTGGAGTGAGGCCTCTGCTGCTTTACATGAGACATTTTGGATTCCAAAACCATATTTTAAATTCAGGTCTTACTCAGGGTTGCATCAGGTTGTCCCAAAAATAAAGATAGCCCTGTTTTCCTCCCTACATGAGCAGCACTGGTAAAAATGGAGACGTTGCCCTTCCCTGTTTTTTAATGGTTCATTACTATGCATACTGACAAGGCATTGGTAAAGGTGTGTTTAAGTTAACTAATGCAGTGAAAACACCACATTTTATAGAAAAAGAAGTATTTAGGACAAAATTGCATAAACATAAATGCAGAATTCCCAGGGGCAGGTACTCATTTTGGATTTGCAGCTTGTCTCATAATTTAAATGTAGGTTTTTGTCCTGGTAGTGAGTTTTAAAGGGGGTAAAACTCATGGGACAAACCGTTGTTTTAATCACAGACTTGCTGATAAAACTTAATTTACAGGAACATTTGCTGCAATATGAGAGCACTGCTGTAACATGGGGAAATAATATGAATACTCTTTTCTGGGAAAAAAAAAACAATGCTGGTGAGGATGCTAAGGCCATGAATCAACAGCCTCTGAAAGCAGCTGAACTAACTACTGTTGGTGCAGAAACCAGAACAGAACTGCTTTCGGAGAAGGTGAGAATAGTTCTCCAAATGTGTCCCTGAGCCTGTTGTGGGATTCAGCTGATTTCATGATAGTCGTTAAGTACAAAAATCAGTTGTCACTCATCATTAAATACCTATAGCATTACCTGCTAAATTAGTGTGAGACAGATCAAATGATTTTGAGAATATTTTGATTTTTTCTCATCAGTCATTCATAGTGTTTTAAAAGTGTGCTGAAGCAAGGATTGTGTGTTTGTGAAGCTCTCTTCATAGCGTTAGTCTGGGTTATTCCCCATTTTTTTCATCTGAAATTGGGCATCTGAAGGTTATCTGGTTTTTCTCATCAGCCATTCATAGCGTTTTAAAAGTGTGCTGAAGCAAGGAATGTGTGTTTGTGAAGCTCTCTTCATAGTGTTGGTGTGGGATATTCCCCATTATTTTCAGCTGAAATTGGGCATCTGAAGGTTATCTGTGAAATTCTGTCTTCCCAGTGAGTGAATGTAGACAATTCACTTTAAGTGCACGTTGTAGAGAAATCGTGACTACCCCTTGGATACTGTGAGAAGAAGTGTAGGGTAGTGGATGTCTGCTCACGTGTACAGTCCTTATGGAGCAGCAGTACTTGGAGCCTGGTGCAATAGGTTCTGCTGCCCTGTGTTTCTTCCTGATGCCAATAATCATGGACGTGCCCCTAGTGTGAATGGGAACGTTAGTGATAAAAGCTTCAAGTTACACAGTTCTTCCTTTACTTCTGTATATTGAGGTTGGTCATAAGATAACCATTCTTCTATCATATGACCTGGAATGTTGTACTGCAGATACTAGACTGCTGGAGTGGGAGCTTCAGCCTCCTAATCCTGCCTGGAAGATACATCCTTGTCTAGAAGTAGTTCTCTGTGCAAACAGAAGCTTACTTCTATAGAGTTAACTTTCAAAAAGCTGATATGATGGTGATGATTATTTGGCTACAGTGTTTTTTTGGTCAGATCAGTTTCCTATCGTAGCCATTTATGCTGCCACCACAATGGCATGGAAATATGTGGCCAGGGATGTGGGGAGTTGAGACTCCCATATCTGCCAGCAGCCATCTCTTTGCTCGGCTTGAAAGGACTGGGAAAATGCATTTTTAGTGACTGATGTGTTCAGCACCAACCAAGCTAATTTTATTTGGGCAATTAACACGTCCCAGAGGACTTAATATTAGCTTGGTGCCAGCTAGTCTGAGACTTGCTTGCGTTCAGTTATGTCTCACTAAAGATATGAGAAATTCCAGTGATCAGTTAAGAGACTGCTGAACGGATCAGATCTGAGACACTAACTCAGTTGGCCCTTGCTTGCTCCAAGAGATGGAGGCCTAATTTTTCACAATTAACAGTCACTGAATGTTTTGTTAACATAGGCAAAACTGCTTGCTTTGTTTTTCCTGTTCCTCTGTATCTGATTTTCAGAAATGTCCAGAGTGTATTAGCTCTGTTTTTTCCAAACAAAACAATAGCATGAGGAGTTTCAGTCGAATTGGTTAAAACTCAGGAGAGCTTTTAACTGATTTCGAGATCCTAATGTTGGAAGGTGACAGACAGCTGTAGTTTTTGTGCTTCTAGGCTGTCATGCTCATAACACGTCAGTCTTTGTTGAGTTGGAGATGATCTTGTAGTACAAATCCAGATGGCATCTCACAGACTGTTTGACACAGAACACGAAAAGAGTGGTAGAGCTGTTGAAGACACAGGTTTGTGTTGTTAGGACAGTCACTCACTTTCTAGACTGGGGACACCACTCATCCTGGAGATGAGGGCATGTATCTTTCCAGCCTACACCACAATAGTGGTTGGTTTCCTTCTATTTATTGCTGCTCGGGGTTGAAGCATCATTTCATGGCTACAAAAGACTTCTTAACTTTGGCAGGCTGTGGAGGAATTGTACCTAAGCTTTCTTTGCCTGGTGAAGACTCTTTGTGTGGGACCTTTGTAGCTGGAGATGTGTGGAAAATACAGGAGCCTTCATTTGCGTTCGGTCCTACCACTCCCTGCTCCTCAAAACCATCACCAGAGTCTGAAAAATGACGACTCTCAGCTGGTGCTTTCACAACTGTTGATGTCCAAAAGGCTTTGGGGTTGTATCCTGTGCCAAATGCAGCCCTCTTAAGGGTGTAACCCAAAGTTTGACACTTCAGAATAAGCGAGGAAACTGTGAAAGCTTCCCTTTTGCAAAGAAAACACATGGATTTCTTCCAGAGAAATGTAGGAGCCCATTTCATTTCATTTATGTTTTATAAAGGTCTATGAACTACTGTTGAATGCTTCCAGGATGCTTCCATGTTATATAATACGCTCCAAGAGCAGCTGGAGTGGGCTTGTGGTGAGCAATGGTGCTGCTCAGGGGAAGGCAGCTTTGGCATGTACCTTTGAAATCAACTCCATTCTGCTGCCTAGTGCACCCCTGAGTTTTATTTAGAACTGAAGATGCGGGTGCTGCCCTCAAAGGTAATTTCTGTCTCTCTTTGAAAAGTTTCCATGCTTAACTGTCTCTTTCTGGGGCAATTAAACCCATGGTGCAGACGGCAGCCTCCTTCTTCCAGCACTGCATGACTCATGCTATCGTGGCTGCTCATCTCGGGAGCAGAATCTTGTGAAATGCATTTTTGACTATCTAAATGTGTGACATCCTCTGATTTTGGCTTATCTGCTATGACAGTAATATCTTCTCAAAATGCCAGCAAGTTGGTTAAGCAATACTTCCCAGCCCTAAAGCACCTACTTCCATATATTACTTTAATCAACTTGTTTGTATAGCAGGTTCTTTAATTACCTCCTTAAAATAGTTCATCTGGGTTTCTTCACACCCAATATTGAATGTGCAGTTTCATGATGTTTTTCTTTTTAAAAAAGAAAAATTGATATTTCACTCTCTTTTGCATTCTCAGGAGTCTTTAAAAAGAAGTTATAGAAAATGTAATGCTTGCTTGACCAGTTTCAGTGTTGGTGATTATTACTTCTGAATTTTGTTGCTTTGTTTACTTCTAAGCAGAATTATTATATTTATACGTACACACATACATGTTTGCATCATTGCTCTGTCTGCATTGCAGAATTCACCTCAACTAAAGGAAAAACTCAACCTTCTTTCTTTAAAAGAATGCATACAGTTAATTTATCTAATCCCCAGTGCAAGCCCTCTACACTTTTTTCCAGTCCTGCTTCCCTATTTCATGGCTCTGTTATCTCCTGAAAATGTACACGAGAAAACCTTTTGTGACATTGGGTTTGTTTACTGATATATACTTGGTACAATTTTCCAGATATCATAGAGGATAAGCCCCATCCTAAAGCTTTTAATGTTATTTTCAGAAATCTCCTAACTAGCTTGTTTTGAGCAGAAGGCACTGAGTGACAGTGGAATGTTCTGCAGGTTGTGTCTCCTTGTCCAGGATGCCTATGGGATGTTCAGTGAAGTGCAGCTGCAGTCCCTGAGTTCTGCAGGTGACGCTGAGCAGTACTGCAGGAGGTGGGAAGGAAAACTCTGCTGCTTAGCTGGGATGAAAATTTTGCAAAGAACTACAAGAGGAAGGTAAGAAGAACTCATGGGAGAACGTGTTGTGTGCTGTGGCAGACAGAGCTGATGTGCCTTTTCATTTATTTCTGTGGTCAGTATTCTTTAGAACAACTGACTCTGGCTTTGTTCAGTTACACATCCTTGTTGCCATTCTGGGGGCTTTCAATAGTACTGGAGGCAACCAGACTCCAGAATGAGCACAAATAAGCAAACACACAAATACACACTTAGCAGAGAAAGGAACAAAGAATTACCATATGCAATATTTCATAAAATATGAGTGTTTTCTTCATCTTCAGCAGATTCAAAGACTTAAAACCATTCATTCACTTCCCTTTCATTGCAGAACTGTTTACTACAGCATTTTCCTGTAGCAATGCCCAGTAAGAGTTTTGGGCACAGAATTTTCCTTTGTATATGAGCGCTTAATTCAGTTGAGTCTATATTATTTTGGAAGCACAGGTTATGTTTATTTTTTTAAAAAAAAATTAAAATCTTACAAATTGTAAAGCCATTCTTATTTTGGAAAAAGAATGTCCACAGATTTATAGAAAAAAAAAAAACAGATAATTAACAAATTGACTTATGGTACCTCTCAGATTTTGCTTATTTTGTGATTTCTTATACATACTTTGAATAAAATAAAATGCCTTTAATCAAGAGAAACAATTAAACAGCTGACGTATGTTATGGAGTATCCTTCTAAGGAAATTGATACAATGTTCATATGGAGACAAATATAATTAGATTGGTTCAGTTCTCAGCATAATTTGTTCATGCAAGCATCTGATGTAGATAAGCCTTTGCTAACCCAATGACTGTGAAATTTCTGCTGACACTTCCACTGAAAAATGCTGTTTCATCAAAACCAGAATGTTTCATGGAAACATTATCTATTTTGGAGACAGTTATGTCGGGAAGATTTTTTCAGGTCCAGAGGGAGCGAATATTCTCTCTCTCATTCTCATTTCATGAAACATTCAGAAAGTCTCATTTTTGTCTCATATTGGAACAAAAACAAATTTCAAAGCCTTGAAATGTTTAGCAAAATGGAATTGTTGTTTTCCAGCCAGCCCCATTCCGTATGCTTTTCTTTTTATGTACTTGCAGTGTTAATTTTCAGATCCTTTGGATTTGAAGCCTACTTGCATTTTTATGGATCTTTAATAACAAACACGTCTTCTTATTTAATTATTTTGTTGGCTTTTTCTTTTTTTTCAAGTCACATTTTTTCCAAACAAATTAAATAATGGCTTTGGTATTCTGGATACAAATGGAGTTTTACAACTGGCTGCTGGTGTTTCCAGTACTCTGCCTAGCTAATAAGAGACAGACTTTTTCTAATGTAAATTGTGTTTCAAAGCAGCAGTGACTTACTTCTGGCTATTCTGAGGATGATTAGAAGACACACTGCTGAAAATGCTGGTGGCTCAGCTGGAGCTGTGCTGGTGGTAACCCTGCTAGGAAACATTAAAAGGAGAAGGCTAGTGTAGCTTCAGGGACAGTGCAGTGGTTAAAACGTGATTTCCTTGTACAAGTTGGGTGGGTGGGGGAATTGTTCAGGGATTTCTTTTTTTTCTTAATTGTTTTAGCCGAAGTTCTGCTTTATAACTTGTAATAACAAGTGCTGGGGCACATTTTGTGTCATTCTAGGTGTGATGGAAACCACAGTAAAGCCATAGCTGAAATGAATATAGGGAACTACTTATTCACTCAGAGCAAAAGTAGACTGTAGAACTCATTGCCACTGGATAAGTGGGTTTCCAGAGCCAGTGGTATATCCGAGCACATGATGGGATATGCCTGTGAGTGCTCAACCTTGGCTTGCAGCACATGAGTGAATAAGAACTATGTGGTCTGCCTTGCAAGAAAGACTGCTGTCTTATTACTTTTTGGATGGAGATGCCTTTTAAACTGTTTATTTCCTGGACTCTGACAGTGGCTTTTAAAGTAGATAAAAGGGAATAAAATGTAGGAAATACAAGGGAAAAGTCATGACTTTTTTTTTCTGCCTTTGAAGCACATGATCTGGAGAAAGCCAGGAATGGCTAATAAGATCCCATATGTGCATGTTGCCCCAGAGTCCCATGGATCTGTAATCTCTCTTATAGAGACAGAGAGCTTCCTCAGCCCCTCTGTGAGACAGGGGGGATTTTCATTTATCAGACACAGAGGTTATCAAGCTTTCTGCATCAGTGGACCACTGTTACTGTTCAAAAAATTTTCCAGGCAATTATCCATCCTCATCATCAAGTATTTAATTTACAAGGACTATTTAACATCATTCCAGTAAATGCAATTTTAAAATCGCTGTTGTAAGCTGAAGTTGCATTTCAAGATCTGAAAACCTGCAATAAAGGGTATTTTAGGGTTTTCACCTGGATGTAAACCTGACTTGATGGTCGTTGGAATGGAGCTATACTGTCAGGTGTGCTAAAGAAACTAAACCATTTCTTCTCCCATAAGAAAGTGTTTGTGTTCCAAAAGAAAAGTGGGATTAGAACTTGTACAGCCATGTCCCATCTTGACCAAGATCAACCCTGTGAAACCTGAGAATTATAGTAATCTTACACTGGGAGAAACACTGTTAATGTTCAGTACTGTTTTTGAATAGCCATTGTGGCAAACAAATAAAAAAAATAAAATTAGATATGGTGGTTTAATGAGAGAATACTGAAAAATGTTCATTAATCTGCCCTTAGGAAGTGTATGTTCTGTCTCTTGTCCTCCCGCTACCTCATATGCCAGTCTTATAAATTCAGCCCCTTGAGAAAGAGGGAGTGAGAATTTGACAGTGTACTGCTAGAGGCAGGAATTTTGGTTACCAAGCTGTGTGCAGTACAACTACCATGTAACCCCCTTATTTTCATGGATCCCAGGCGTGTTTCAGGTACGTCTGGTAGAACCAGTAGGTGACTGGATGCAATTAGGTGCAGGGTCGGAGTGCTCACTGAAATGCCTCAGGAGTAAATAACCCATAATTTGGCATAGGCTGCTCCTTCCTAGCAGAAATTGATTTCAATGAACTGGGATAAAATTTGTAGTTAGATATCTGTCTTTATGGACAGATATATTCATTTTATGTCTTGAGCCCTGACTGGAGTTCCACCTAGGACAATAAGTTGGATTTTGACAATTTGTGTCTTTTCACCTCATTTGCCAAGCACTGAGTTGTTTTACTGCTGAGTGTGGCAAACTTACCTGCTTCTGCTCCTTATGCTGTCTTATAAGGTAGAAATATGAAGAGTTTCTATTCAGCAGAACAGAAAGATGACACCAATGTAAAAGTGGAAAGGGGAGGAAGAAATGCTTTAATGCATGACACAGGGTATCAGTATGAATTTTGTCCCTAAATTGGAAAAATGCTTTAAAAGTTTTAAAAGAAGATGCAAGATGGATAGTGCTAAAATCCACACTTACATTGGACAGGCTTCAGACACTTTGAAGGATACATCAACTCATAAGCTTTGGTGCTTGACCCAGCCTTTAACTCATGGCAGGTTATACTATATGTTGCATTTCCCTCCAAAGTAAGTAGACTCTGAATATTGAGTTCATCAGAGTGTTATGTTTCTCTGACTTCTGCTTTTTCAAATAAAGCTGGCTTCTGTTTTTTGTCATTTTAAACTTCCAAATGTTAGGCACTGAAATGTGAAATCTCTCTGTGTTTGTCTGTAGTGTTGACCACTATTGTGCCTGAGGGTTTCCTTTTTTTTTTGGTTTTTTTTTTTTTGGTTTTTTTGTTTTTAAGTCCCATACTTTCTATGCCTCTCTCTCTCTCTCCTCTTTCCTCTACTCTTCACTGTAAACTTTCTCTTTTTGCTTTGCACTCAGAAGAAGAGAGGACCACCACTAACTGCTATACAAGAAAGTGTTTCAGCTGCTAGACGTTGACAGGAAATGTAATAGTAAGAACTCTCCACAGACCAAGGAAGTCATAACTTCCTTCCTTTGGTTTTCCCTCCTCCAAAAAGACTGCCATCTAAAAGAGCCACCCACATCTCTAAGGTTTTGAGGTCCTGAAACACTTTGGTAATAACTGTGGTTAAAAGTTGAGTTCCATTTCATAATTTTAGTAGTCATATTGGAGTTTTGAATGTTTGCATGACTTTTAAATTATTTTTTATGTCTTCTTACATATAAGAAATTAGCTTTTTTTTCCCCTGTGTTTTCTTCTCTTTAATAAGCATGGACTATTGCTTTTACCTTCAGTGCTTCTGTCATGAATCTGTTTAGTAACCAGCATTGGAATATAACACAGACATACCCATATTTAATAAAAAAAAAGTAGTTTTATATTATCATTTCAGTGTTTTAATGTAGTAGGTGTAATTTCTAATGTCCTATAGGAAACTGAGTTATTAAAGTTTGTAAATAAGTTGTTCAACAAAACCTTCATATATCCAAACAAAGTTTAGGGGTAAAAAGCCAGCAGTCCTTCCCCCTTGTTTGTATTTTGACTGAGATTCTGGTTTAGTAGGCTCAGATTTTTACTTTATGATTTTTTTCCTTCTATTACTCAAGTCTGAGAAAATACTGAGTACATAGCTTGTGTACTGCAAGGTCCAAACAGGGCAATTAAAGGGAATATCAGCTTTGTATTTGGATGGCTTCTCTTTTGGTAGCTGAAGATTATGCATTCTGGGTGATTATTCCTGAATGACTTTTTGGTTTTGAGCAAGGAGATGTTTCACAGAGGGCTAGGAATTCCTTTATTTTTGACTTCGTAACAGTAGAGACTGATACTGCCAAAAGAAAACTGTCTTGTTTTAGACTAAAACTGAGAGAGGAGGAAACAGAGAAGTGTCAAGTCTGAAGTTCCCAGAGCAAAGCTGTGGAAAATATTGGAGGAGAATCCTGGCATCTTTCTGCCTGTTCCCTACTGTAAACTTCACGTAGTCAGTCTTCTTTTCCTAATTATGGGCATTGTTTTCCCTCTGCTTTCTTGGATGTTGCTGATACTTTCTCCCTGTGGTAATTTTCCCCTGAATCTTATGATTATTAAAATTGAAAAATCCCACAAACTATAAGCTATGATGTTAAAAATTGAATCAGGCGTGTCACACACAATGCTCTTGGACCAGAACTGTAGATGAAACCTCCTGCTTGTGAAAGAAATAAACAAAATCTTCTTAGTAAGTTACAAAATAAGCTGTCAGATCAAAGTCAGTGAAACACATTTTTGAAAAATAAAAATCTGAAGTTGTTTGGGTTTTGTAGTATAGCTTATAGTATGAAATGAATGAAGTTTCCATGGAATCAGAGTGGATGTGCTGATTGTGTAGATCCTGGTTTATCACTTTAGTGGGTGTCTAAATTTAATTACAACAGATTTTCTCTTTATTTGTGTATTTTAATCAAAAATCATAGAGCAAATGTGCATCAGCATGTGTGCACATATGGATGTATGACCTTGCAGCGAAGGGCAAAACAAACCAGGGAGGTGAGAAGCAGGTGACTTCTGTCTCTTGCTGAGCTGTGAAACTGAGAAGGAAGGTGGTCAGGTGAGCAAATGAGAGCAGCTGCCTCTCCTCAGGGCAGCACAGGCATCATCTGTGGTGAGAGTCGTGGGGAGGGAAAAGTAAATGCTATTAGAGTAGTATCACTCACTATCTTCCAGTCATTTTTCTATAGAGTAGTTTAAGATGAGTTAAATAGGTCAGGATTAACTTCTGCACTTGTTGCATGTGTGTTCTGCATTTTCTCAGCCATGTATTTAGCCTGTTTAACAGTATTAAATCTTTAAAATTCTCTGAGTGCTGTCTGGGTACACAGCAGGCAGTTTAAATTTATGGATATAGAGAAAAGATGTACCAAGTTCAGCAAGGAAAGTTTAAGTTGAGAGGGATGCCTCCCGAGCACATTGCATAATAAAAATAATTAAGGACACTAAAAATATTTATTATGTGCATTATGTGTATATACACAGACACACACATATAAAAGTATCATTATATATAAGCTAAGCTGGAAGATTTCTACAGAGGAGAAGAGGACCCATGTGTGCAGGGCTGCCTGTCAGAAGCTCATGGTGCTATGGAAGTCTGTACCATAACACTCACTGGAGTTACTGGTGCTCTTGCTGTGTTGGTGATAAACAGTGGACATCAACATACTTAGTGTGGGACAAAAAGATTTTTACCAAACATGGGTTTCAGTCTGACATGGAAAGTAGGGGGTTGAGTCTGTCATTTAGAACCTGATAGGTGATTTCTGTCCCTTGCTTAGTATGGATTCAGTTTTTTTTTTTCTTTTTTTCAAAGAAAAGTTATGGAATACCACAATAGACTCCTTGTCTCTGAAGTAAAAAAAATGTTATTCACAGTACTTATGTTCTTTTTTTTTTTATGCTTGATCCTTCCTTCTCACTTCTTACTCTACTTTTTTTTTTTTTAGAAGTGAGTCCTTTTGTCACTAAAATGATTTTCCTTTTTCTTTTTTTAGGTGACTAATAATTACACTCCTAGAGCAAAATTTTAAGTCCTTTTTTTTTTGTTAGCTGTAGCAGAGAGGTTCTTTGTGCACATGGGAGCTAATCATGTCCCTTCACTATAGCACAGAGCCAGCTGTCCATCTCTGGTCCTGACTCTATAGCTGAAGAAGGATACACATTGTGGATAAAGCACACCCGTTGTTCAAGACAGATTGAAGTGGGTTTTGAGTGTTGCTTAGCCAAAAAAGAGAATAAATTTTACTCTTTCTGTGAGGGTACTGATCTTCTGCAGAGGAGGACATAATGTCTTGCCATTTCTCCAGTGTCACTGTTCCCACCTCATTCCCCCTTCCGCCAAGTCAAAGTCCAAGAGTGTAAAGAGAGAGGTAACTTATATTGGAGGTGTGTAAATGTGTGGAGCAAGAGGGGAGCTCCTCACCAGGGCCCCTGACTGATACAGTGAGAACTCCAGAAGAAAACATTCCCTTTAGTAGACAAGATCCTGGCAGCATGTGATTTGGAACTTGCAAATCCTTCAGATGGCAAATGTCCCTGCCCTTTGCCTGACTGGTGTCAAAGAAGAAGATAGGACCAAGATGTTCAGGAGACACTATGCTGCTCCTCTGCCTGTTTGTAAACAAATACTGTCATTTACTAATAATTAAGTGCTCCTAGTTCAAGCAGCAGATGGCCTTCTCTAAAAGGACACAAGTAATACAAGAAAATGTACCATATGTCCGAGATATTCCAATATGGGGCAGCAGGCTGCAAAAGAGCTAAAGAAAAAGGGACAACTTCATGTGCCTTGTGCAAACTTAAAAATACAGATGAGACATCAGCATAAGGTCTGTGTGGAGACGTGGTTATATCTGCACTGCAACAGCATTGCTTAGTTGTTCTAAACTGATAGTGTGCCACTTCTGTACACACACAGAGTCTGTGGTACGTTCACAGCCGTGCTCTGCCCTTGCCCTCGTGCTGTGTGTCCTGTGAGGAAGGCTGCTTGTGTAACTGCCCGAGTTGTACAGGAGGCTGTGCTCCCCGTTGGTAACTCTCCTTTTTCATCTCCCTGTTAGCAAGACCTGTTTGTTCCTCTGGGCATGGGCCCTCATGTGATTGTAGGGAGAATATCATTCTGTATGATACAAGACAGCAAATCCCACCCCAATCAAGGATTCAAGAAGTGCTCGGTTTGCTGTAAGGTCTCCTCAATACCTAATCTGCCAGCTTGTTACCTTAATCAGGAACCACAAGCTTTATTCCACATTTTTAGTTCACTGCCTGTAGCCACCCAAAGTCTAAGAGCTTAAGGATCTGGAGAAGAACTAGGGAAACAGAGAAATAAAGAAGCTTAAGCAGAAGTGAGCTAAAAGCAGAACTTGAAAAGGAAAGTTTCCATGACCCTTTGAAAAGAAGCAGCAGCATGTTACGTGCTTCAGCCCTGTACCAGGGTATGCCATTTCCTTCTAAACAGCTGAGTTTAGAAGCTAATGTTACTTTTAGCAAGTTTTGGACTTCATTTATTAGAGGTGTTTCAGAAATAGTGGCTTTCTTAGTTGGAGGCGGGGACAACTTGTTCTTGGAGGCAGTGTGGGGTTAAAATCCAGATCTCTGTGCTTCAACTACACAGAACAGAGAACTAGGACAAGATAACTGGGAGCTTTAGCTCAAAAATGCATGCCTCTTCAAGTTGGTTATCTGTAGCTATTTCCCCTCCCTCAGCTGTTTTCTTGGCCTCTCCCTGAGATGTTCCTGCTCGTCCAGCAAGGATGCCATCCCCACTGACAAGGCAGCCACTGAACTGCCACAAATTACAGCTTTGCTTGCTGGAGTCTGCAACATTTTACCTGAATATGCTGGGCTGTTAATTTTACCTTTGTTTCTAAATTAAAAGTGAGAAACTTGCAAAATAAATAAATATAAATCATAACTAAATGAGCTGCTGTGTAGGAAGAAGACTGACCTCTGTGCGTGTACTTCAGATAACAAAATCTTGCCTGTTTCTCTGTATTTGCTAATTACTGCCTTTCCTGAAAGCCCTTACAGTCAGCTGCTAGATAAAAGCAAGAAATGCAAATGTTAGAAGCAAAACTTTTATTTTTTTTAAAAAAAAGTCTACCAGTTTCAATAGTTAAAATCTGTCCTGGTGCCTGTGTCCTTCCCAAGCCAGCATTTACCCCAGTTCCCCTGAATTTTAGCATGTGGCAGACTGTTCGTGGCAAAGGATTAAACACAACTTGCTTGTCCCCAGTGTGATATGTCCCTTCCCTGCCTCTCCACT